CCGTGCTGGACAGAAGCGGGACCCCTGGCTCTGGCCTACCTCTTTGGGGAGATTGATCATGGGGCTCCTGCACTGTGAGAGGGCACAGGTCAGGCTGGGGAAACCCCCGCCTCCCTGCCCCTGAGTGCACAGATTTCATGCACCGGGCCTCTAGTACTGATATAAAAAGCAGGTCCAAATTGGTACCCACAAAAGAGGAATTCACCCCTCATTTTTGGTTAATTAAATGATGGGTGAAATGTGATTGACACTGGATCTTGAAATGGCAGATATATTTTTTCTGTTTGGAAAGAAAGCATGTAAGTTTAGACAGCTATTCACATTGACAAGAGAGGCTAACTCCATGGCCTAGCTTTATGAGTGGTGAAAGATAACTTGAGTGGATAGGTTTTGGAGGGACTACCTCAAAAAGATCTGAGTGTGTTGACAGAATTTCACTAACTCATTGCCCTGTCACCAGCAATAAACAAGACTTCCCATGGAGCATGTTTAACCACCATAAGAATGGATATTTTTTCTGACAGGAAGTCATCCTAAATGTTTTTTTCAAGTTTAATATAGTTCTTCAGGTTTTAAGGCCAGGATGCTACTAAAATTTGGTCCCTGTGAATTTCCTTACAACAATAAGGCAGTTGTCTATATCCACCATTCGAGGATGAGAGTGCCTGTATTTGGTCTGTGGAGTTAAAAGCCAGGGAAACAGACTCAAATGTATTCTGATCTTGGGCACCAGGAGAACCAAGCTGATTAGAGGGCAGGGACCTGTAGTTCAGCTAAATTGAAGACCTATTTTACTTAGACCAGAAATTATATCCAGAGAGAACAGCAAACTCAGGGAGGGGCAGGCAAGAACTGTGGAGCCAGACAAGCTAGAGATGAAATGCTTGAAAACAGCAAAAAGAGAAAAGAAAAGGGAAGAGTGATTGCTCAATGGTTGAAAGTCAAACACAGCAGGATTCAGACTCCAGCTCTGCCTTTTTCTGCCTCTGTGACTTCGGACAACCATGGTTATATTATTTGCTTAAAATATTAGCTGCTCCTCTCAACTGAGTCCTCCCTTCAGATCCCTTCCTGGAGAGGGAGCCCCCCCTACATTGATATCAAGGTTGGCTATGTGACTCACTTGGATAATAAAATATAAGCAGACATAATGAAAATCATGTCCAATGGAGGATTTAAGATCATTACATTTTTAAAAATTCTTCTTTTTACTCTGCCATGAGGAGGGTGTTTTGTAGGTGGAGGCCGTTCCCTTCAGCCTGGATTCCAGAATAAAGATGACTTGTAGGAAAAGCCAGAGCCAAATCACAGACCTCAGCTGATATTTATCATGAATCTGTGCTGTTAGCTACTAAAATTTGTTACCACTGCATAACCAGGCCCAAACTGACTAATAGAAAAAGTTACATAAATCTCTATGTCTCAGACCCCTCATCTGTAACATTAGGATAAGGCTATTATGAAGAAAAGATGGGATGATGTTTGGATATTTGGTGTTTTCTTAGCAGCATCTAGCAAGTAGTGATCTTTGTTACTCCAGGGACCAAGGCTATGAATCTGTGGAACAAAGGCTCAGGAATCCAGAAGAAGGATTAGGCAGGAATTGGTGAAGACCACAAGGCCAAAACTAGATGTTGGGATTTAGCTGGAGTCATGTGTAGCAGACTCTGGGGGGATGGAGTACAGGGAGGCAGGAGCAGTGAGTATGACACTTGGTGGTGACCCAACTGCCCTCGGGGACACATTTTATATAGACTTCCAATGAAAACCAAAGTCAACTGAGAGCATAGGCAGATCCACTCCATCTGGTGGGGACAAATATGTAAATGGGATAGTAGGCAGTTATTGACATGAGATTTACATGAGGGAAATCTTTCTGAAATGAACTTTATTTGTTCCCAAGCAGTTGTGTTTTCCCCCCATTATGGTTATGTCTGAAATTCCACAATGACAAAACTTTCTCCTTGTGGATTGAGTTACAGTTTTTATGAAAGCTACATAATTTATGTCTCTAAAATTATTTAAAAATAGAAAATGGGCCAGTAGCTCTAGAAGTATTAAATCTGTTAACAAACTGATAGACTCATAATGGTAGACACGGTTGGTTTTGATGGTATTGAAAAAAAAAGTGTCATGTTGCTGCTGATGCTGCATCCAGTATGTGGGTTTTCTTCCTTGGTTGTTTAGAGGGGAAAAATGATCAGCTACATTCCCTTGATGCTGGACAACTGATATACAGGTAAGGAGGCCCAACTGAACCTACTGTGTTTTATTGGATAGGACACACCTTACCACTAGAATGATTTTGCAAAGCTGGAAGGCAAAAGCCAAACCAATCATCCACTGAAAGTGTTTCAGGGGTTTTTAATATTAGCTGCACATTAGAATCACCTGGGCAATTAAAACAGCTATTCAGACACTACTCCTAATAAATTAGAGAAAATAAACTCAAAACCTTTGGGGCTGGGACTAGAAATCACAAATACAGAATAAATAAAACTCCCAAGATGATTCTAGTGTGCATGCAGGGCTGAGAACCATTGGGTTAAGAGGTGAAGAAGCCCAAGGGTGAGGAAGACTCTGGGGACGAGGGTAGATGAGAAACCAAGATGAATAGAGGAAGAGAGTATACTGACTGGTGCTTCTCAAACTTCAACATATGCGAGCATCACCTGGGTGTCTTGTTAAAATGCATATTCTGATTCAGTACGACTGAGGTGGAGACTGAGCATCTGCAGTTTCTAACAAGGTCCCGGGTGATGCTGCCAGCCCCTGGGCCACACTTGAAATAACAAGAAATTAGAGTAGATAAGCAGGACTTGTTCCCAGTGACTCCTAGACTACTAAAGTCTGAGTGACTCCTTCGAGGCTGTATGGGCAAGTCCATTTGGCTAAAATAATGACAGTAGCTGCCAATGGAAAGAATATAGTGATTTGTCATAAATAAGATTATATTTTTCATAGTTTGAATTTATTCTAGAAGTTTCATCAGAAGAAAAAGAACCAGATTTGAGTTACCTTTTAGCAGATGATACACATAGAACTAGAAACTGAATATAGTAGGAACCTTGCATATTAGTCAGGGTAACTGCTGTATAAAGACCATGTACTCTAAGATAAAGTTGAGGCAGCCTAGGGTATGAATGAACACACAACCATGACAGGAACCAGTTTAGAAAGCAAAGTTAAGTGCTCTCAAATGACATTTTTAAAACACTGGTATTACTGAGGTCATTTAAGTTGGCACCCAGACATGATAATAAAGTATATTAACTCACATAGTAATAACATTATTTCCTTCTTAATTTACTTACAATCCTTCTGATTAGCTACAGGAAAAAATAGTATTAATTTGAGGTTGTATGTCTTTATTAATTCTCTAATATCTGCTAATAACCCATTTTAACAAAAAGAGAGCAATCCAATGTTCAAAATTCTAGCACACAAAACATATATTTGGTTTATTTTTATTACAATTATATGTGTGGTTCATTTTTTTTTAAATCCTCACCCAAGGAGTGAGGATATTTTTTCCATTCTTTTTTTTTTTAGAGAGAGAGTAGAAGGGAGGGGAGAGGGGGAGATGTAAGAAGGAGGAGAAGAGAGAGAGAGAGAGAAAGAGAGAGAGAGAGAGAGAGAGAGAGAGAGAGAGAGAGATTGGTTGCCTCCCACATGCCCCAATCAGGGCTGGGGATTGAACTTGCAACCAAGGTACTTGCCCTTGACCTAGAATTGAAACAGTGACCCTTCAGTCAGCGGGCTGACTCTCTAACCACCGTGCAACTGGCCAGGGCAACTTTTTCCTTTCAGTAAGTGAATTTTTTTTTTCATTTCTGCTAGGACAAAAACCATGAAGGTGGTATTTGAAAAGCCAAAGTTTTGAAAGTCTGACATGGAACAAACATGAAACTACTTTGAAACCTGTGCTGTTAACAAATTTAAGTCCTAACAAATATTTGCATTGATTTATTTAGCAAAAACTGCACTTAGAATAGGTTTATAAAGACAAAACAAATTTAATCAACAAATATTTGCTTAAATAAAAAGGCAATTTTTAAATTAAAAAATTCTGATGTGGGAAGAAATTGATGATCATAAGGAAGACTCAACTATTGATCCTGGCTCTGCTTCCTGTGACCTTATGGAATAATGCTAATAGCCCATGCAAATAACTCCTCCAGCTATCCTATATAATAAAAGCCTAATATGCTAAATGTCTAGTCATCCAGTCGTCCATTCAACCAATCAAAGCATAATATGCTAATGATATGCTAAGGCTGCTCAACCGCTTGCTATAATGTGCACTGACCACCAGGGAGCAAGACAGTCAACTGGTCACCAGTCGCTATGACATGCACTGGCCACTAGGGTGCAGACGCTCAACCAGTAGGTTAGCTTGCTGTTGGGGTCTGGCCGATTGGGACTGAGTGAGACAGGCTGGACACACCCTAGAGCCCTTCCCTGACTGGCCACTCTCCCGTGTCCCTCTCCGGCCTGATCATGCACCAGTGGGATCCCTCGGGTTGGCCTGTGCCCTCTTGCAATCCGGGACCCCTCAGGGGATGTCAGAGAGCTGGTTTTGGCCCCATCCGGCAGACCAGGCTGAGGGCCTCTAGTTTGAAATAAGTTAAGACCCTTTGAGTCATCTCTTTAACATATAGAACATTTTTACTTCCTTAACTTGCACATGTGACATAATATTGAGCCCTATCACCATGGTGTTAGAACTCCCCAACGTGCCTTTGGGCTTCCATCATCATTTTTGTATACCCAGTGCTGTCTTGTTGTTAATTTATTTCCCAGAGCCCCTCTTCTACACATATGCACCCTCTGACATCCCCAGCTTAGTGTCATCCCAATCAACAGGCACATGTCTCCTGCTCCCCTTTATCAAAGCTGGCCCGTATCATTTTGCTTCCTTTGATGTCCGAAATATTCACACATATAGACAAATTTATAAATATTTGCATCTTGACAATCTTCAATTTCTTACCTAAGGGAATGAGTTATCTGGGAATTTTAGGACCAGTGAGAAAGCCAGTAAGGGCAGGCCTCCCAGCAATGATACTTCTTGGCATCCACATTTTTTTTCTTTTGTTAATCCTCACCTGAGGATATTTTTTCCCATTGATTTTTAAACTGATAAGAACAGATACTACACTTGATCTTAGCCAAAAGGCCGAGAAGCGATCCCCCATTGATTTTTAGAGAGAGTGGAATGAAGGGAGAGATGGATGGAAGGAAGGAGAGAGAGAAAGAGAGAGACAGAGAGACAGAGAGGTGAGAGAGACACATCAATTGGCTGTCTCTTGCATGTGCCTGATCAAGGCTGGGGATTGAATCTGTGACCCTTCAGTGCATAGGCCAATGCTCTAACCACTGGGATTTCTGGCAAGGCCCTGGCATCTACATCTTGACATGTTCAATTTCAATAACCTGACCTTGGATAATAACTCTTTCCATGAGCATGTCTATGTGTTTATGTTGGGATGAAAGCAAGCAAGAGGGAGGCAATGCTGTGTGCTAAAGAGAGTTAGATACGATGGTTACTGTTGATTAACAAGATTTCAAATACGACTATCCCAGGAAGTTACTAAGACAGGAAGCCAACAAATATACCTTTATCCTAAAAGCCTATAAACAGGCATTAGCATTAAAATAACTTCCTAACTTGATCTAGTGATTGTCATTAACATTTTTTCTGAGGATCAAACTAACATAATGTGGGTTAAATAGCATTGACCTTTAATACTATTTAATCCCATTGATTTCCCTCATTCTTGCTTCTGAGTTTACATTTTTAAGTGACATTTAAAGGTGCATTTACTTAACAGCACTTAATCTTTTTTTAATATCAGGGGACATCTGTATAATAAAATGGTGTCAAAAGCAAAGAATGAAAGGAGAAGGGTGTTTGATACTTTAAAAGTGAAGGACAATATCTGACAGAGGGATGCAGATATGGTAAGAGTAGTCTGAGCCAACTTAGGCTAGGAAGAGAGTGCAGACCCAAGTAGTGAGTTGCAGAAGCCCAGGGCATTGGAACTGCTTGGTCGGCCTACACACAGTCGTTAGGGGCTGGAATACACTGCTGTTCAGATGCTGTCTGCACTGGGTCCACATCACAAGGCCAGTATCCATGCTCCGCTACGCACAAGGCAGATCGGGACTTAGCTGTGTGCTCCATGCTTCAGCACACTTTCACCCCAGACCTCCAGCAGCTCAGAAACATTGCTTCTCTCGTCTCTACAACATTCCATTGGGGGAGTTAAGTTACAAATATTATGAGGCCTGTTCTACAGCTGAGAAAGCTGAATTACAGAAAGGTTAAGTGGCTTGCTCAAGGTCAGAAATGGGTAATAGAGATCAAGTGCAGACTGGAGGGGACCCAGCAGTAATTCCCAGGATACTTAAGCAGTCTCACTCCAAAATCCTTTCAGCGATTACTCTGTTTTATTCCCCAGGGCAGCAGATTCGCAAAGGCCAATAGAAAGCTTCTATGAGGCAATTGTACAGGCAGGGTTCTTTCTCTAGGGGACATATACGATGCTGTTACTTTAGACTTCTCCTACATTTCAAAGGGGCAGAATTAATGACGAAATTCATCCAACACTGGATACACTCCACATTTAAAGTCAGAGGCACCACCTTGCAATACAGACAGCCACGGCTCAGACGTGCTTCTTGGAGGAGGCTTTGCAATGCAAGAAAACTCTTGGGCTTTCTGAAGCCACAGCCTAGATATAGTTTCTTTTCCTTCAAAGAGGAAACTTGAGAGGGGACGTTTAGAATACCTTCACAATCAGTCCTTTCTGTGCACAGTTTTGGCTTGAGAAACTTCAAAATGTTGTCCTCATTCTGTGGTTATCTTCATCTCCAAGTAAATCTCGAGAGCTTTATGTGAAGGGATTTGAGCCATTTTTTGTGGATTCTTATACTTGAGCTTTCTTACTAACTGGCAGGCCAATGGGTTCACAAGGACGGGAGGAAATGGAAAGGAAAATTGGAAGTGTGCAGTTACTCTCATAGGGGAGGCTCATATTTCTGATGGGGACCACGCTTGCCTCACTAGGAGTAGAAATTTAGGCTTTTTGAATCTGTTTTCCAGGATGAAAAGATGACTAACATTATCTCCAGGTTTCTGATCCAATTGCTTGCAATGTAGGTGACACTATTTTTTAAGAGTGTTGACTTTTTTAAAAAAAATATATTTTTATTGATGTAAGAGAGGAAGGGAGAGGGAGAGAAAGATTAAAAACATCAATAATGAGAAAGAATCATCGATTGATTGGCTCCTGCATGCCCCACGCTGGGGTGCGCCTGCAACCTGGCCATGTACCTCACTGGAAATCCAACCATGACCTCTTGGTTCATAGGTCGATGTTCAACCACTGAGCTATGCCAGCTGGTCTAAGAGTTCTACCTTTTGATGTATCTTTATAACTACCAGTTTTCTGAATAATATATGGTAAGTCATAAACTTCTTTCCAAAGATAAGAAATATTTTATTTCCTGAACCATTAAAGAACGTATATTTTCTTTAAACACATTGTTACCTTAAATGTTTATAATATTACTCATATAACTAAATTAGCAATAGTTACTATTTATTAAGCACATACTGCCTACTGTATAAAGTATATGTGTGTAGAAGGCTTGCTATGGAAGGCTTGCTGTGAGAGGACCAATACAGAGTGAGAAAATGCATCCATTGGTCAGAGTCTATTGGAGTAATAAAAACAATGTTACAGCAACTCAATATCAGATCCAGAAGTAGTGTGATCTATCTATCTATCTATCTATCTATCTATCTATCATCTATCTATCTATCTATCTATCTATCTATCTATCTATCACTTAGCTACCTATTTACCTGACCTACCTATCTACCTACCCACATTTTTAATATATGGGGAAATATTTAATGGCTCTACATCTCTCTCTCTCTCTCTCTCTCTCTCTCTCTCTATATATATATATATATATATATATATATATATATATCATATAGGTACACAGAGAAAACCTTATTTAATGATTCTAACAACCCTTCAATATAATTACTATTATTCGTGTTTTACTTATGAGATAAAGGAGATTCTAAGAGATTCAAGGTCTCACAGGTATACATTGCTGACAGAATTATCTGACATCAAAGCACGTGGTCAAATTTAAAACAAAAAAAAAACAAAAGATGCAAGTTGCTATTTATATATGGCTTTATACAACTAATTCAGAGACAGGAAAGTACTATAAAAAAAAGCATTATCTAATTTCACTGTCAGCATAATCTATATGATATGGTGGACTAGAGCTATTAGGCCCAAATTTCTGATGTGGACTGTGAGGCTCACAAGATTGCAAACTGTTGCCTGTGAATTGTTTAATATTAACCGTATGTTCGATAGCAGATTCAAACTGTGGGAACTTGCCTTTCTTAATTATTTAAATTCACTAAGAGAAAATCGTGCCATTCTGGACATAGTTCCTAAAATCAGGGCAGAATTATTCTTGATTTGGCCCTCATACTCCAACAGGAAGATGGTACGAACTTTCCATGTTTATGTGCACAAGCGGTGGGTCTGGAAGGTACACAGATATTCATGGAAAACCAAGCAATAGAATCACAGTTGATGAGTCAGAAGTATCAAAACCTATAAATAGTAGCATTTGAGATCAACCAAAGAACTGGAATGCTTATATGTGTAAGCCATGGACACAGACAATAGGGTGATGAAGGCCTGGGGTGGGGGGTGGAGGGTGGGCTAGAGGAGGTCAATGGGTGAAAAAGGGGGACATATGTAATACTTTCAACAACAAAGATTGAAAAAAAAAACTTCACACAGAGTTCAGAAAACATTTGCTGCATTATAAGTACTTAGGGTTTGGAAATTCAGTTTGGATGACTTCTTGAGTCAAAATGTGACTACTATATTCCTTCAAGTTCCATTACAGTCTTAGAGTCACCTCACGCTGGAACTCTACTTCCTTAACAGGTCAGTTTGTCTCCCCTATGTCCTCTCCCTGGAGATGCGCTGGTAGATGTAGAGCCATTAAATATTTCCCCATATATTAAAAATGTGGGTAGGTAGATAGGTAGGTCAGGTAAATAGGTAGCTAGGTGGATGGATAGATAGATAGATAGATAGATAGATAGATAGATAGATAGATAGATAGATAGATAGATAGATAGATCACACTACTTCTGGATCTGATATTGAGTTGCTGTAACATTGTTTTTATTACTCCAATAGACTCTGACCAATGGATGCATTTTCTCACTCTGTATTGGTCCTCTCACAGCAAGCCTTCCATAGCAAAAAGGTTGCAAAGTCCTAATTTACCACTATTTGAATTATCTGTGTTTCACCTGGCTTCTCCATTCAAATGCATTTTTAGTCCAAGAGCCCAGCAGTGTTATTCTTTTAATTTTATATGCCCACAGAGCTGAAACATTTGAAGTACAAGCATGGGACCGAATACTTTTCAATTAGATGTTGGCACATACAAACACTCCCAGACACTAACTGGCACAGATCAACTACCATTCACTGAGCTTAATGGATATACTCTAATGGCATGGCCAATGGTGGAGCAATTTTGGAGCCTCAAGAAATGTAGCAGCAGTGGAAATTACAGTCCACAGCATGACAAGAAGTCCTTCAGAAAGGTTTTGCACAATTAGCTTATTTCAGAAATGAAAAAGGCCAATTGGACTAATTTGCCAGATCTTGGCAGGACATTGATACCAATTGCTTTTTGTCACTGTTTACTTACCTCTCTGTTTCCTTAGGTATGGAGGACCAAAAAAGAAGATTGCTTCTTATCAGAGTCAATGAGTATTTGTATTAAAGCCTTTTTATTTGAGAAAGCACAGAATGGTGAGTCCTTCTTTTCTTTTTTCCTCCTGAACCCTGTGAATTTTCAAGCTTCAAGTTATTTTTTTAATATATAAAGTTTCTCATTAAATATTCTAGGTCTGTGCTTGGATTGAAATATCGTAATTTGGGTCTTATAACTACAAATAAAAAATTTTCTCTATTGTTATTATTATTTGCAAATTTCTAGTAGTCATTTTTATAGTCCCCATCCATGTTATAATTTCAAGTAAATCGAGCAATGAAAATTTTATAGTGCATCCCTAATTGTGCACCAGACTGGAACTGTTCATACAAATTCCAAGCAATTATA